GGAGGGAGGAAAGGGCTTTGTGGCGAGTGCCTGCTGCCACCGGCTGGTCACCGCTCTCCACTGCGTTCTTACAGACCTTGCCGAATTCATATTTCCATTTACGTGATAATTTACCCAGCATCTGTTTTGCTCATATCCGCGTCCTTTTTTTTGCGCGCGGTTGCCAGAGCGAGCAAAACGGAATTCACATCTGAGAGCAAAGGGAAACGCAGAACGCGGCGAGAAAGGCATCTTTAACGTTTATTAAGGCTTTGCATCTTTTTCTACTGAAATATTTTTGACCCGCTTCTGCCTTTTCGTGTCCTTTTTCCATTCGCGCAGGTGCTCTTTCACGCAGCGCTTTCCGGGGTAGAGACATTCCAGCTCTGACGCTGCGTTCTCTACCAGAACGGCGGTTGTGGGCTGCAGCTTTTTGTAGACTTCGCTGCTTTCCGTTACAAGGTGTGCTGCGTCGTGACAGGAACAGGCTTTTTAAAGCTGTTTGCTTTGAGCCTTCTTGGCACGCTCATGCGAAGCTATTTCTCTGCTTTTTAAAAAATACTTAAAGCGCTGAGACAATTTTTGCCGCTGTGCTTTAATAGGATTTGCAGCTGTGAAGGCGCTTTAATAGAATTTACAGCTGGGCTGAAGTATCCCCTCTCTTAAAATAACATTGCAGCTTCGTGATTCAGGAGAATGTGCCTCCCACCAGTTGCTTTGTCTGTAGCTGTGAATGCTCTGGAGCAAGAGGAGAATATGAGCAAACCCAAAACTTTTGTGTGTGGCTAAATAGGAAGCACAATCCCGCGGTTAGGGACTGGAACTATAAATGAGCGTATTTGGGTCTTGTTTTTTGCTTTGCTGACGACTTGTTTGCTGCTCTCTCATGCAGTTTTTAACCTGCCAGGTTTTTTCTCCGTCGGTAGAATGGGAATAGGAAAACCTCAGCGTGTTTTCAGATCCTTAGGTGATTGCTTTGGGGATCTTTGTGTATTGTAAGGCGCTGGATCAGAAAGATGGCAGGTGGGAAACAGTGCAGGATGTGGTGTCGTCGGAACCTAGCGAGAGCTGTGGGTCTTCTGTTTCTCAAACTGAAAAGCAGTTGGTGGCTGGGGAACCAACGGAAGAAATGTGTTATCTCAGAAAGCTGCACAACAGCTACTGCTTGCCTTCCGTGGCTCTGGGCCAGTAGTTTTCGTAGCTGGTCCCAGAACGTCAATCCAGAGTGTGCAGAAATGAAAGCAGTGAGACTCCGCAAAGCATTTTAAATCTTGCAGGTGAGGCGTGCAGGGAAGAGGTGGAAGAGAGCCGCCTCAGCACATGCAATTTGCTTGACAGGCAGACGCCCAGACTCTGGAGACCAGGACCCCTGCCCGAACACTGGAAAATTACAGGTGGAGAGCAGGGCAGCGGTGCGAGCGTCCCGTCCTGGCGATGCTGTCTGTGATGGATGGAAGGGGCGGGGGGAAGCCTGCGTACCTGCGAAGGCACCTCAGCCTTGCTCCCGTGCAGCTTGTGGGGTCGCTGCCAGGGAGGCAGCCCCGAAAAAAGCCGCTCTCAGCTTCCCGGGGCAAACGCAGGGCAGAGAAGAGGAGAGAGCGTGGCTGGCAGCGCCTGGCCGGCTGTGAGCCCCAGTCAGCAGACTGCTTACACGGATGTTACGCTCAGAGTCCACATTTTCATTCTGTCTCTATTCCAAAAAAAAAAAAAGGTTTAAATCCCATTCAGCGCATTGGAACTTGAATGTGTGCGTAGATGCTTGGTGGAGTCCTGGCTTGAGCCGCTGGTGTTTGTGCTGAGGCAGGTATGCGTCGGGTATTTACCCTGGCCCGGTAAGAAATGGCCTGAGAGGACGTGTTATGACCTCTCTCCCTCTGTGTCCTGGCCAAGGTTAAGTCAGGGAAAATTTTTTTTAATAGGAACGATATCAAAGAGGTCTTCTGCGTCGTCTCCCGGATCTATGATCTCTTTCATAAGTGACTTTCTTGTTCATAGAGGTTTGCAGCCCTTTGAAGTGCCTGATAGTAAATAAAGGCGCATAATTTACAAACATGGCTGAAGCCAGAAATGCCTTTCTGTGTCTGTCATCTCTGTTTATCAGTTCAGGTTTTCGAAACCAGAGGGAGAATTTCCCTGGCGTCAGTGACCTACAGAGGCAACTTTCAAACTCAGAATGGAGCTGGTGAGCCGGCGAGACCCCCGCCTCCGAGAGGTCGCGTGGTTTGCGGTGTGCTGCAGAGCCCTGACGCTTCTGCTGCAGGCAAGTCTGCTGTTCCTGAACCAAAGATGCTGTGACATCTGTTGTTTGCCGCTCCGAGGCGTCTCTCTTCGGTACTGCCTTGTGCACCGTGAGCTAGCTGGTTCTGCTTGACGGGGAAGTCGTGTTCTCCTTTGGAGAACCAACAGACCCGCCGCATCCAGGGAGGCAGGTTGCTGTTACGTAAAATTACATAAATTTCCTTGTATCTTACTGTGTCTTCGTGCCGCTGTTGCAAGAGGCCGGTTTGGCAGCACCAGAGGAAGATCATAAACAGAAGAGGAACAAGAATTCCTTCCAAGTCTCATTTCCAGAGACATGGGAGAGCTCGGTTGCTCGCTCCATCCTACCTGTGCGTACCGAGACAGCCGGCAAAGAGTCTGGCTGTAGCCACGGCCCTCCTGAAACAAAACCAGCCTGAGAAAGCTCTTTAGCAGCAGGCCAGCAGCCAGCTGGCAGATTGCGGCAGGCCCGGGCACCGCCGGGGAGGGCTGAGTGGAACCATCAGCTGAGATGAAAGCCTCCCTGTTACAAATACCAGAGGCCTCGTTAGACCAGATGTGTGCTTCATGGTGAAACTTTGTGTGTCTTTTAGTCCCAATTTGTTCAGTGTGGCCTTTTCTCTTTTCTCTGCCAACGCTGAATTTATTGCAGGGGACTCATCCCAATCTCCGTGTAGTTAAGCTACAAAACCATCTGAGGTTTTTGGGGGTTTTGGTTTTTTTTTAAATGTATTTTCATTTGGAATTACACAATGCACTAAGTTGCATACCTCCTATCTTATGAGCTCTCTGGGTTTTTCTCTCACCTTTTAAAACGTGGTCAGCACCACAAGCTCCTGGAGGCAGAGGTGTCTGCATTCTGCTTGCTCGCCTCCAGAAGGCGAACCCCTTCGTGCACGCCAAGCCGCAGAGGTGACGGAATGCTCTAGAGGCTAGAGAGGGGGCCTGGGGATCGGCTTCTGTCTTCTGCATCAGTTTGCTCTGGGAAAATGTTTTTCTCTAGTTCTGTCTCCTCTCCCATGTACATCAGCGGGGACAATAATGCCAAATTAATGACAATAATGCCGGAGGCTTACCGGTGCTGCGAGCGTGCGCAGTTAGATGTGCCTGAGCATGGGGCTGAGCAGCTTTCCCTGTCCAGTTCCATGGGGATTCATGCTGGATATGTTCCAGAGCTTTATTCAGTTCAAAGGATTGCGTTTGCACCTTTTCACAGCCTTACAGGTGTCCGTGCTGTCCCTCAGCCTGGCTTCTGCGCTCCTCTCGTCCCCTTTGAAAGCCGGGAGCCCTCCTCCTGCTCAGTGCTTTCGGTAGGGTACGAGAGGATGTCTGCTGAACTTCAATCCTCTCTTCTTTTTCCAGGCTCTGTTTAACCTCCTGATCCCAGATCACGCTGCAGACGCCTTCCATCCCCCTCGCTTGTCCGAGCCTGGCCTGTGGGACCGGCTCTTGGAGCGGCTGCTGGGAGGCCTCTCGCACTGGGATGCGGAGCACTTCCTCTTCATCGCCGAGCGTGGTTACCTGTACGAGCACAACTGCGCCTTCCTCCCGCTGTACCCCCTGAGCGTGCGTGCCGTGGCCGAGGGAGCTCTGTGGCCCTTGCAGTGGCTGCTGCGTTTGCGGAGCCGCCTCCTGCTATCAGCTGTACTTCTTAATTCTCTCTTTTCTGTCCTGGCAGCTGCTGCCCTGTATAAGCTGGGCTGCGTCGTGCTGCAGTGTCGCAGGGTGGCTTTTCTTGCAGCCGTTCTCTTTTCTATCAGCCCTGCCAACATATTTATGGCAGCTGCTTACTCGGAGAGCATGTTTGCCTTCCTGGCATTCAGTGCCATGTGGCAACTGGAGAAGGGGCAGAGCTGGCTCAGTGGACTGCTCTTCTCCCTTGCTTCTGGGGTGCGTGCCAACGGGCTTATTAATGCTGGCTTCTTTCTCTACTCCTGCGGTAAATGCTTTGCCCTCCAGCTCCAGGTGGGTTCAGGATCGCTAAGGGAGCTCCCTCCGTTGTGGAAGCAACTCCTTAGCGTGGCGTCTGCAGCGGTTCTGATGTGTGCTGGGATTTTTCTACCTTTTGCTTTATTTCAGTATTATGCCTACGTGAGGTTCTGTGGTCCTGGCATTGGCCTGGAGCAGAGCGTTCCCAAGCCGCTGCTGCAGCTGGCTCTGGACAAGGGCTATCGTCTGGCGGCCATGAACGGGGTTAAACCCCCTTGGTGCTCCCAGCGGTTCCCCGTAGTCTATTCCTATATTCAAGACGCTTACTGGAATGTGGGCTTTCTAAGGTATTTTGAGCTCAGGCAGATACCAAATTTCTTGCTTGCTTTGCCTGTCGCACTCCTGGGCTCCTGGGCTGCCTGGACCTACATCATTGCAAACCCCCGGCACTGCCTAACTCTTGGTCTAGAGAGAAGAAAGAGTGACGAAGAAGGTAAACCAAGAGCTGGATTTTGCTGCCCTGCTGTCTTTGTGTACGTGGTCCACGCCACGGTCCTGCTGGCGTTTGGATTCTTCTGCATGCACGTGCAGGTAGGACGCTCATAGCGACGCACAGGAGTCGTTTCTTAAGGGGAATGCGGCATGGTGGCACAGCTAAACCAAAAGCTTTGCCTTTCCTCTTTCGGAGCTACTTCCACAGTTTCCAAAGCCGGTTAGTTCCTCTGCTCTGCTGGAGAGTTCCTGCAGAAAGCTTGTCACGTGCTCGGTGCGATGAGGACCCCGGGACGGGCATCCAAGGGTCCGGCTGGTGTTGGGTGGCGTTTGCTGAGCCCTGCTAATGGGCTGTCGGAGGACAAGGATACCGGCTCATTACCATGTTGGGCCGAGCTTAAGGGATGGCAGTGAGAGGATCCAGAGCTGTCGCCAGTCTCTGGAAAGCGTTTGAAGGCCTTTTCGGGGGACAGCTGGCGGCGCTAAAGGTTGGGGGTTCCAGTGAAAAAATAATTAAGATTCAGATCTCCCCTGAAGCTGCTGCCCCTGCCCAGCTCCTGAGCTGGGCAGCGACGAGGAGTGACAATTAGTTACCGTGCCTGTCCAAAACCTGGGCGCCACTTGGCTGCTTACACAAATGCCCTAATAAATAAAGCAGGTTGAGCTGAGAGGTGTTTCATTTCCATATAATAAATTCTAGCACCGTGACTCGGGGCCGTATTTCAGCCCCCTTTATCAGCGGTCTGAGGCAGATAGATGGCTCCTGTGCCTCGGGATCAGGGCTGGTCGCAGTCGGAGACAACCTGCGATTTATGTGACTTTTGTTCTGCCTGTCTCCAGGTGCTGACCCGGTTCCTTGGCTCCTCCTCTCCCATCCTGTACTGGTTCTCCGCTCACCTGCTCCAGGAATACGAACCTTTGCTCCGGAGCGAAGGAACTGAGAGTCAAACCGCGGCACCTCGCTCCGACAAGTCTCTTCTCCATAAATCTCCGGGTTCCTGTGGGAAAGGGACTTCCCGAAACCCCGTTGTGAGGCTGCTGACAAACTGTAGATTAATTACCCCGCTCAGCAAATGCATTCTTGGATTCTTCCTGTCCTACTGGCTGCTGGGACTGATTCTGCACTGCAACTTCTTGCCGTGGACGTAGCGAGGGTGTGTGTCGGTGCAGACGGGTCGTGGGGCAGAAGCACTGGTCGGAGTTGGACCTCACTTTTTGTAAAAAGCCTGCTCTGTATGTGATGATGCTGTTGTCTCGGTTGCTCCAGTTACTGCCTGTGTACAGAGCTGTCACGGCGTGGCCG